CGCGCAGGCGCTGTATGCGTCCTGCGCATGCGTGGAAGCGCAGAACTCATCAAAACCAGGTAAGGACCACGGGCGGGCGGGCCCTTCGCCGTTCCCGGAAGTTACTTACTTCCGGGTTCGTCGACCAACCGGTTCGCAGGGACTGCCGCGAACCGGTTGAAACCCACTCCTGATAGACACACAAGTGGCATGTGTGAGATCTGTGCCAATCAGTGTAGGAGGACAGCACAAGCAGGGGTGGGCTTCAAAAATTTTAGCAGGGGGTTCTCTGCCCAATTGCTGGGTGGGCGTGGCCATGGTGGGCATGGCCTAGTCGGCTTCCTGCACCACGGCCGGGGGGGGAGGGGAAATTATTGCTTTCCTCGAGCCTCCAGGGGTGCGAAAACAGCCTCCTCAGGTTCTGGAGGCCCTCTGGACTTCTGGTAGGCCTGGTTTTTGCCTTCCCCAAGTCTCCGCACACACCCTGCACTTACCTGCATCTAAAATGCGCCACGTGGGGACTCCTGGGAGGCGCGGGGTGGGATGGGCGGGGCCAGCCAGTGGGATTTGGGGGTTCTCCGAACTGCACAGAATCTTAGCTAGAGGTTCTCTCGAACCCCAGCAGCCCACCGCTGACAAGTACATACCGGTAGGAATTGATAGGAAGCCTCCTTTTCCTTTTTTTTAAATCTTAGACTTCTATTGTTTTATCAATGTAAAAAATGCAAAGAAACATAAAAATAGGAAATTAAAGGAAGAAAAAAAGGAGGAAAGAAAATATGAGGTATAAGGGAAGAAAGAAAAAGGCATTGACTTCTGACTCTTTTTAGCACAGAGCAAGATAACATTACAGCCTCAACTTTTTACTTTTACACATTAGTACAAAGCTAACCATTTCTATCTAAATATCATAACGAAAGTCAAAGTTTCATTTTTTTTTCATTGCACAAAATCCAAAAGTGATATCCAAATAACAAAAACATAAATGTATTCTCCTTTTTAAATAGAACAATCAATGTAACCATTTTTGCTTTATCTTCCTTGCCATGGAAATAATATGTATTTCTATTTGCACTTGGGATCATGATTTTCATTCCTGAGCAAAACAACTGTTAAGCAACTCACACCTGATTTTACGACCTTTTTTTTTTTTTTGCTACAAGTTATTAAGCAAATCACGCCAATTGTTAAGTGAATAGTACGGCTGTTAAGTGAATCCAGCATCCCCCCATTGACTTTGCTTGTCAGAAGCCAGGTAGGAAGGTTGCAAATGGCAATTGCTTGTCAGTTGCTGAGAGCCAAAATTTTAATCATGTGAGGATGGGATGTTGTGATGGTTGTAAGTGCAAGAACTGATGATGAGTCACCTTTTCAGTGCAGCTGTATGAATGGTCACTAAAAGAATGATCATAAGTAGGATCACCTTCAGATTAAG